TTAACTGTGTGTCCCCTCTCTCCCTGTACCTTTCTGCAGGTTGCCCTGGCTCTGGAGCTCTATGTTTCTGATGAGCAGTCACCGGCCACATCAACCCGACCAGTGTTTGATTGTTTGTTGTGTCTTGTTGCTTTTCTTCTTTTGTCTCTCCTCTATCCACTCACCCCAACTGGTCGAGGCAGAAGGCCGCCCACCAAGAGCCGGGGTCTGTCGGAGGTTTCTTCCGTTAAAGGGAGTTTTTCCTCCCCACTGTCACCAAGTGCTTGCTCAAGGGGGATTTGTTGGGTTTTCCTTATGTAATAATATTGATAACAGTAAGGTCTAGACCTTACTTTGTAAAGTGTCCTGAGATTACTTTTGTTGTGATTTGGTGCTATACAAATAAAATTTGATTTGATTTGATTTGAAATCATGTATGGTGGCTTGTCCTCCTACAGAATGTTGAGTGATATCTGACTTGAGGTCAGATAATGCACGCTCTTTGGCTGAGCCTGTAAATGAGGCTTCTCAGTGGTCATTCTGTCTGGCAGGGGCACTTCTGATTTATTACTTTCCGTGGGTGTTCTGACCACTAAGGTCAGAACAGCGCTAGTATGGTGCGCCTGAAGAAGAACTCTACAGTCTCATCAAGCTGTTCAATCTGTGCTGTTGTGTTTTTTGTAACTCCAGTAAAGAAGAGTTTCATAATATTTCATCAGATGATCAGGAGTCAAATTCTGTTGCAGATGAGTTTATTACCTCAGCATTAAAGACAAAAGCAAACCTTGTGACCAAACAGAGCACTGTCTAAACAGGAAAGTGACAACTTTTCATGGAATTTCGCATTGAAGGCATAAATGCCATATATAGACACATATTCGACCCTGTTCCCACCCTCATATTCAGCAAAGGTGAGAGTATGGCCTGGCAGCACATTTGTTATACTGCAGGTGTGACTGTCTTGTGACTTCCCAGACTTGGCCTCCACCCCAGTGAGTGGCATTATTACATGAGGTTAATAGGAGTGTTGGAGCAGAGTAACCAGGTGCTTAGCTTTGCTCCCCCATGCCCAACATTACACACACACTGACAAATGGCACACATTTTGAGATGTTTATCAGAATTAAAAGTCTACCTTTCTTCCACTGAAATCCTGCATCCACAAAACAGTTTTATTAAACATTAGTAGTTTTTCATTTAAAAAATGTAGTCACGCACTGAGATATAACTTGGTTTTATTTGTCTTTGTAATGATATAAGAACGGTGGTTTCTATCTTATGGATTTTGATTTTTTCTAAAGGGGGCAGGCAGGCTTGAACTGATTCACCCTCATATTTTTATCTGCTCACAAACCTGAAAGTGGGTGTTTTTTTCCCCTGTTACAGTAAACAAAGTGGCCTGTAGTGACATCCACTGAAAATCATTTCCCGTAAACGAAAGAAAAGAAATGAACTGAAATAGAACGAAGTAGAAATGGACTGCTGATTATTCCCTTGATTTTGGGCTAGCGCCCACCTAGTCCTAGCTGCAATTGGTGCCTGCCAAAACCCAGGACAAAAAATAATGTTTTACAAAAAATGTTTTCATAGGATGTTTGAAAAAACTGTCACTTTCCCCTTTTATTTTATTTTTTTAAAAAAAAAAGAGAAGTATGTACTTTAAACTAATAGGAAGACCAGTAAAAGTCAGCGAAAGACAGTAAACTTCTGAAAGTTGAGAGTTCATGTTTGGTACTATTGTGCAACTGACATTCCCAGAAAGACACTATACATCATGCCTTGTTATAACATGGGTGTTTTTCCCAACACCATGACTATGTTGATTTTAGTGGGATGGGTGCTTTTACTGACAGCTGATGTGCATTAATACTTAATGAACATGAGCGAGGAGGAGAAACATTACTGTGTTTCACAGACCTGGATGAAATGTCTTCTGGCTGCTGCCATGCCCAGTGAGACAAAAAGGACATCCCTAAATGCCATTTTGGGAAATACACTTATTTTTCTGAGTGGCATCAGAAGAATAATATCAGTGTCACATCCCAGCACTGAGCAAGAGTTGGGATGTGGTTAGCTTAGCAGTTACCTGAAATCATCAGAAGCAGGGGAGAAAGAATGTATATGTGCACCAAAACCAAAAGGGGTTTTAAAAAGTATCTTTAGGGGGAGTTATGTGTTCTCTCTATTTCTTGACAAACAACAGTTTGTGCAGCATCTCTGGCTATACTGCGGGCATAAACAGATGATGAAAACAGAATTTGGTATATGACTCTGTAAAGGCAAGAACCTCACTGTGATGACATGACTTTGGTATGCTGTGCGTAGTGACTTACTTTCAACAATTTCAACAACAATTTTTCTTATTTTTCATCTTTATATTTATGTTGTGTTATTTTAAACAAATGAGAATTGTGTTAATTAGGGAGCATCAGAGATGCTGGTAAGCTTATTTTTTCCAGGTTAGGATCCCTTTTGTACCGGCCTCGTTGTAATGCTAAGCTAAGATAAGTCCCTGGCTCCAGTTCTGTAGCATAACAAAAACACAGGCTGATGTTTTTGTTCTATCTCACTGGCTTACATGAGAATGATTGCAATCTCTAGTATTCTCCATTAACTCTACGCCTTACACTGTTTTGCTATAATCTCTACCTTAATCCTTGTTTTTTTCTGGAGGGTGTGGCAGCCATTGGGACCAGACAAAACATTATAACACAGACAAAGCGAAACCCTAAATCTGGCCATCCATACAAAGACTCTGTGGGACTGGTGCTGGTTTTGTCTTGTACTTGGGATTACTCACTTTTGGATAAATACCTCATGTTTATCTGATTATCAAAAATGTGTCTTTTGATCTTTTCTCACTCCACCTTTCTTTATATTTGTGTCATTGTGTAGTTTTTCAATATAAAATTACTTACAAATAGGTTTGGATGCATTCGCCACTATTATTATTATTATTATTATTATTACATATTTTGCAGCAAGCTTTTATGAAGATACTTTATTGCAATGCTTATCAGGAATAACTGTTTTTGCCTGCTCATTGACAGTACAGGGGCTGTTCTGTTTTCATCAGGAGCTCTTTATACTTTAATATCCTGCTGTATTTTCCTTCCTGAAAAACAAACAAAAAACTTTGAGCAAAGAATGAGACTGAACATGCCTGCAGACCAATGGAATAGAAAAGTGATAAGCAGCAATGGACATGAAGACAAAAAGACAAATTATGATTTCCACATAAGACTTAAGCTTTGTTGCTTGATGGTTTGTACCCTGGAAAACAGAATTTTAAGCTTTGATGACAGATCTTAAGATAAGTAGACCATCCTCCTCACATAAGAACAAATCACTTTGTTCTTGGCATCCATTCTCAACTTTAAGTAACTAGCATAAGAAAACAGCAAAGAAACCAAAAGAACAAAAAAGGTGCTCTATACTTTTACTGTATAATATAGTAAGTAGATTGAGAGATAGAGGTGTTGGGAATGTACTTGCGTTACAAACCTTCAGGGGGTTTCTGGAATGTTTGTTGTTTTACTTAAGTTATTGTTCCTGTGTTTCTGCTAAGGAGACTGTGGAATTCCTTTCCTTTGTTTGACCATATCCTTTATGCGAGGGGGACAATCAGACACACTTCCAGCTATGTAGGATAGACAATGTGCTAGACTGTACTGAACATCTGGAACTACCTCACACCTCAAAACCTCTTATCTGATTTTTGTCCAAGTTTATTAAGTATCAAGGTTTTAAAAGATCATATGGTATTTGTAGTTTGTACTGTAACCTTCATCTACTTCCAGAAACCATTTGTTCCTATTTATCTCAGTACAGATTTTCATATCAAAGTGAGTGGAAAACAATGGATGCCTGGAAATGTATAAATACACACTGTTAACAAAATGTTTAGCTGTGTTACTTATGTGTTGTAATTCTTTCATACCTGAAATGCCCAGAGTCAAACGAAATATCTGACTTCATTAGGTGCGACATGACCTAACTGCACATGCCCACTGTGGCTAAAGAAAATGATGACACCATGCCACTAAACTGATCCCGAGACATGACTCAAATTAATCAACTGGAAAAGTGATGAAAGTGCTGATGCGTGACTGTTTTCAGGATAGGGAGTGTGAAGCACCTCGTGTGCTGTGATGAGGCTAATGTGGGTTTTAAATGGAAAAATGTTTGTTTAAGCAACTTAGTTTTGTTGGTTGTTATTAGGATTGTTACCTCACCATCTGTGACAAATGCCAAAGCAAAAACATATTCTCATAAAGCATTATACACAGGTAACACGTGCCAGAGATTGTGTTCTTTTTATTGTTAAGTAAACTAAAACTGGCTATGCATATATCCTTTATCCCAGTTATTGTTTCTGAAGCTGATATCATTTATGTCTTTGTGCCTCTTAACTAAGTTATCATCTAAAAACACATAGAAGAAGAAAGATATTTTTGGTTTTAATGTCTTTGGGGCTATTCTTGAAATAAAAAAAAGATAAAATGACATTCTTAGTCTTTACTGTTGTATCAGCAAAATTCAAGTAATATTTATTATCATTCATTTATAATAAAAATGTCTACATTCATTTTTCCAAATCTCAAAGTGAGTCCTCAGAGTTTAATAACTTGGGGAGGACAATGATAGGCTGTGAGCAGTCCTATGTTTTTGGCCCTACAGAAAAGTGGGAGGTGGCTTAGAGAGGGGATGTGGCCTGAGGGGTGGACCTAAGGCCCACAAGGTTTATATAGTTTAACAGCTTCCCTTCTCCTCCTGCCTTCTGTCTGTGAGCTCACATTTCTGCCTGTCCAGCCTGTGACTCTCTCTTACTCACAGTCTTGCTCACTGAGTCTACACTCTCCAGCAAAAATGCAAACCTCCAGGCAAACTACATACTCTACTGTGCGCTCCTCCACCTCTAGCATCAGGCCTTCTGCTATATCAGTGACCCGCACCTCCGCTCCTGTATACAAGACCCCAAGTGTCCATGGTGGAGCCGGGGGGACCCGTATCAGCATCTCCTCCAGTGCACGCAGTGGGCTGGGAGCTGGAATGGGAGTGGGCTTCGGAGCAGGGAGCTTCGGAGCAGGGAGCTTCGGAGCAGGGAGCTTCGGAGCAGGCGGCTTCTCCAGCAACGTCCAGGTGAGTGGGAACAGTGCCGACATCATGGGCAATGAGAAGTTTGCCATGCAGAACCTGAACGACCGGCTGGCCAACTACCTGGAGACGGTGAGGAGCCTGGAGCAGGCCAACCACAAGCTGGAGATTAAGATCAAGGAGGCCTTGGAGAAGAGTGGACCTGACTTCAGAGACTACAGCAAGTATGAGGCCATCCTGGATGACCTGAGGAAGAAGGTGAGGAGGGGGGCCGGGAGAGCATAGTGAGAGTGGGTGGGGGAATGTGCATGTGTCAGTTTAATGTGTTGAACAAAAGCATGTGTGATGAAGTTGGAATAGTGGGAGTTGACCGCTGCTTTATGGGCCGGGGGCTGAGAGCTAGACCGGAAACACTATGGTGGAGGAATGTTGGAGCAGGAGCAGAGAGACAGGAAAGCAGAAAAAACAAAAAGCCAGAAAGGCCAGTGACTTTTCAGGTTAAGAATGGTCAGCTTGCAGTCTCATATATCAAAAATAACTATTCTCCTCTTTATTTAGTGCAGTACAATCAATGTGCTGTCAGTTGGACAGTAGGCTACAGTCCATAGATAATTTAGGAGATGATAAAGAAAACTCAACCCACTTAATGAGTAGGATCTTATAAGGTGGAGCCTATTAGTTCAGTGATTTTATGTTCTGCATATTGAAAGCAATTAATCAGATAACACAAATAAATTTCACACATACCTGATACACCCCATACAAATACATCTTGCACAGCAAAGTAGTGGAAAAAGAGTTCAGAACTGAAGGTAAATGAGGACGTTACACAACCAACATTTGTAAGTCATTCATTCCACGTTTTGCCTCCTTGAATACCAGAGGGGGAAAAAAATCACAGACTGACGGAAACAGAACTGGAATGTGTTACCTTCCACTTTAAGCCACTATTCATTCAAAACCACACTTTCCTTTCCAGAAAATTAAGTCAGTTGTGGCAATTCAGTCAGTTTCCAAATGTAACATGAAACACCCAATTACTCGCTATAGGAAAGTGTGCATGCAGACAGACAGTCTTTTTCTAGTGTTTTTTCTTGTGGGAGCAACAGCAGCATCAAGGTCAGCTAATCTTGCTTTGAAATGATGACACAAATGAAGTGGGCAAATGGTGCACAGACAGTAAGAAAGAGAAAAGAGAGGAATAAGGAGTTTGTCATGTTTTTCTCAATAATGTCATCATTCTCATAGGTAAACTTGTGGAAATTAGGTTTTGTTTATTCACCAAACAGCTGACGGCCTCAATTAAACCAAACAGCTCAGGGTCAAAAGACTCATTTTTCTTTTGGCATGAGGCACACTGGTTCCCTCCGCCTCATTTCCCATCTGTAAAAACACAGTTTCTCACACCAGCATTAAAACAGCCCCATCTAGTAAACAATGCTAAGTCAGCTGCCCATATGCACGGACAATCACATGAATTACATGACTGAGTGCACACACACATCCACCGCCACAACCCCCACCACCATTTTCCTTGTGCAAATCACCTGCTGACAGGATAGATCCTGTTTGTGAGCAGAGACGGGACTGTTGCTGCCTGGCAGCCATTGATTGGCTCCTGGACTTTGTCACCTGGATGGCTGCCCTTTCATCCCTCTCAGCCATTATCTACCACACAGTGACTGCTAAAGTAAATACTGCTGCTAGTGACCAGGTGGCTGTGTCCTTATTTACATACACAAAAACACTTTGTCTGCAATACTAAACCTATTACTGCTTATGTTGGTAGCCAATTTAAACTTCATTTGTTTTTATTTTAGAAAAAGCGGTCTCAATATTTTTAAGCTAGTTGATATCACTTAAAGCAATAGTCAGACATTTTGGCAAATATACATTAATTTTCTGGCTGAGAGTTTGATAAGACAGTAGATAAGGCTATCTTCTTTGCAGCTGGTTAGCTTAGCTTAGCATAAACACTAGAAGTGGGGGGAAACAGCTAGCTAGGAAGCTTTATCTTTTGACAAAGCAACATTAACTGTTCCCAGTCTATGCTAGACTAGGCTAAGCTAAGGTTGTTGGCTTCATATTCACTATACAGATATAAGAGTGGTACTAATCTTCTTATTTAATTCTCGGAAAAAAATCTAATAAGCTTATTTCTGAAAATGTCAAACTATTGCTTCAAGGTACTGCTACTTGATGACAAAATAATTGGCCAAAAATCATCAGCTCTTTGTTGTAAATGTTCCCCCAGCTGTTGCTTATCTTTGCTGGCTCCTGTCCTCAGTTTGCAATCCAAACAAACCTCTTTCTTTTGTAAACCTGTTCCAGGTGTCTGATGCCACCATCGACAATGCCCGTCTGGTTCTCAACATCGACAATGCCCGCCTGGCAGCTGATGACTTCAGAGTGAAGTAAGGCCCACCTGCCTTACCACTGAGATTGTAAAACACTGAGCAAGACAGCCATAGGCACACACTGTTTGACTGCTGAATGGGTTGTTGGATGGATACAATGTTGTGATCTAAAAAGACAATCATTTGTCTTGTTCTCATAACCTATGTCGTAACCATAATCATCACCTTTGCATCACAGCCAGTGGAGGTGTTGCTGATGTGTTGTATATTAAATGTCATAGCAAACACAGCTGGCATCCTCACTAACCTGCCCTGTTCTCTCTAGATATGAGTCTGAGCTGGCCATCCGCCAGTCTGTGGAGGCTGATATCGTCGGTCTGAGGAAGCTCATTGACGACACCAACATAAGCCGCATGAACCTGGAGAGCGAGATCGAAGCCCTGAAGGAGGAGCTCATCCACCTCAAAAAGAACCATGAAAATGTGAGTACGATGACATTCACATCCAAAACTCAACTATAACCTCTAGAGTCCTGAGCTTTGGAAACCCAAGCTGTGCGGTCCTCATATGAGGACGCAGGGACTCTAGAGGTTAAAGTCCCTGACAACTTAGTTTCAAACCTTTAATATTTCTCTATAAGATTAAATAGTAATGACAAAACACACAATGGTCAAAGTTTAAGTTCAAAAAACACATCTTTAGGTATTATTTATTAAGAGTTTATCTAATTAGCAACATTAAATACAACCCCGCAGCTGTTGTTACACTTTAATTCATGGTGAGATGTTTTTTGCACAAATTTTATGCGAAATAACCAAAACTCTGGCATCATTTGCAGTGATGTAGGATCTCATTGCTTATCTTAACAAGTTGATTTAGAAAATAGGTTTTCAGGCCCTTTATCGTAGGCTTAAGCTGAGTATAAGCATGTTGTCAGTGAAAGGTTATATTCATGCTACTTCATTCCAGACAAAAGCCACCTTTAAAACATCTCTGGACATCATTAAAGCAAACATCCTTGGAGCTGAAATAATATTTATTTACTAGTTCATCTCAGTAAGTTCTTTAAACATCATCACCTTGTGTGCTTATCTTACACATGTATGTTACACACTGCACTGCATCCTGCCAGGCTGCAGGTCACTGCTGAAAAAGAGCTTGAGAAAACGTCAGTGGGAAGAGGGAGGTTTTTGTGAATATGTGAATTTTGTGGGAAGCCTCATTGTAAAAATGAGTCCCATCCATATTTGGCAACAGAGAAAATACCAAAGAATTTGAATGATTGTCCCTTAAGTGCTTAAGCAAAACCGCTACCATTTGTTTATTGATGGGAAATAAAAGGGAAATATTTAATTCAGTGTATAGGCCCCAAGCACAGGCTTAGATGCACTCCCTGGATTTGGAAGAAGTCAGGAGTCACAGCTCCAAATATGTCTATAGTGGTAGAATCCATAAGATCTAAGGAGCAATACTAACGCTTTCACATGGACATGTTTAATTTGCCCCTTTTCATATAGTTACCTGTCAAATGAGAAAATATAAGCTGGGATTTTGGCGTATTAATTCCCTTATCCATTATTGTTTCTTTAGGAAGTAATGGAGCTTCGTAACCAGATTGCCCAGTCAGGAGTCCACGTGGATGTGGATGCTCCTAAGGGACAGGATCTGGCTCAGCTCATGGCAGAAATCAGGGACAAGTATGAGAAGATGGTGAAGAAGAATCAGGAAGATCAGAAAGTATGGCACGAATCTCAGGTAAACAGTTAATAATAAATTATAGTCTACAAACAAGCGCAAAGTCCCTGTTAAAAATAAATGAAAACTTAGACTGATTTTTACTAATGTATTTTCAGATAACAGAAGTGCAGACCCAGGTCACCCAGAGCACAGAGGCCCTAAAGGGTGCCCAGACAGAGTTAAATGACCTGCGCAGACAGATACAAACAATGGAGATCGAGCTGGAGTCACAGAGGAGCCTGGTGAGATACACTCTGTCAGCACACACTTCATTTACCTCAACACACGCCTGTCTTAACCCTCTGCACAGTCCAACTCAGCACTCTCACTTCATGTATTTCGCATTGACTTTGTTGACACAAGCTTTACACTCTGGTGACCCTTCAATAAGCTGCTGTCATCAGTTATTCTGGTTCACTGTAAGGTTTTAACCTGTTCTTTTCTTTCCTTATGCTTGCTAACAGAAAGCTTCTCTGGAGGGCACGCTGAGGGACACAGAGATGCATTACAACATGGAAATCGAGTCTCTCAACACCATCATCCTGAGTCTGGAGGCTGAGCTCACGCAGCTACGTAACAACATCAAGCAGCAGATGCAGGACTATGAGGCCCTGCTCAACACGAAGATGAAGCTGGAGGCTGAGATCGCAATATACAGGAAGCTGCTGGACGGTGGAGACTTCAAGTGTGTAGATTCCACTTCCATACATTGTTTAAAGATTTGTCAGTGAAATCCGCATGGCATTTAATTTGTTCATGATCTTTTCCTTAGGCTCCAGGATGCTCTGGAAGAGCAGAAAACAGTGAAGACCAAAGTGATGACTGTTACACAGACCCTGGTGGATGGCAAGGTGGTTTCCTCCAGCACAGAAACCAAGCACCTCTGAAGATCAGAAGCACCCAGCCAACACTCTCAACAGTCACTGTTACTGCATAACAGCACTAAAATATAACCGTCCATAACTGATTCTGGGTCCCCATTACTTCTCAGTCATAGCTGCTGTGATTAGTTTGACTTCCTGGCTATGCAGCTCTTCCACAGGCTGAAAACTGGAACAGAGGAAAACTAACTCATCTTTTATTTATTTCATCATGATGTTATTTATGTGTTTATGTTTTGACCAGCAGATCATTACAGAAGTTCAGAATTGGAGCACTGTGAGCTTTTTCAGAGGCAAACTAACTGAAACCATGAAATATTTTAAAGTAATCAAAAAGTCTAACTAAATACAAAACATTTTTAAATATTTCATCATCCTTAGTTTTCTTTCTGTCCAGTTAAATCTACCTGTTGCATTGTGATCTTCAGACATTTAATAAAGTCCTTTTGAGAAATCTTGGTGTGAAGATGTGTTGTTCACATATATCAAATTATCACGACATGCTTATTGTAATGAAGGAATAACTCAAGAAAGCATCAAAAGGACACATTACGGCAGGTGATAGTGACAGAGGAATAATTGGCTTTCACTCCCAACAGTGATATGAGTTCTCAAGAAAAATAAGATTCATGTCACACATTGAACTCTTGGCTGCTGTCCAACTATAAATAAGAACTTTATAAGAATAGAAATTTTATAGTTGCCCCATTGTTAACTCATTTCATGGTTTCAAGTCAATTTACAAATCAATCAAGTACAAATCAATTTGTCATTTAATACCTTCTGACTTGCCTGTCTGTGACATTCAGCACAAACCTGTTAGTTCCAAGTTGCAAAAAAAGTCACATATTTGGACTTTAATTTAAAAAAAAAAAAGCAAAATGATTTCATAAAACAGGTGTGCACTATTGTGTTAGAAAACTCTACTGTAAGACAAGTAAATCGTGTCATTTGTTGGGGATTATTTTCATCTGTTGATAAATACACATTTGGTCCTTTGGTGAGTATTTACCTCCTCAGAACAGGGCAGTGGATGCATTGACTCCAACTTGCAAAAAAATAAATAAATTAACCATGTTTAATATAATGAAGGAGCATGTCACCCAGTGCAACACTGGGACTTATTGATGTGTTTTTAATAGTTTAATTGTTTTTGGACAACAGTGGAGCTCTGTGGTGCAGAGGAATAAGACTTATCAAAGCTTTAAAAACACAAACACTACCTGTTAATAGGGTCACTTCAATGTTGATCTTCCTTTTTTTAAAGAGTTAAAAAAATAGAGCTATAGAATATGGCCACTCTTATCTTTTAAGATAGTGTTGGTACCATAAATATGGCTAATTTACTACTGCGTTTAATAGATTGGTTCATAGTGGGTGATAAGGTGACAAAGTCTAAGCACAAAGGCTAAAGGTAAAAATGTAGTTTAGATATGAGAGGAGTGGCAAGAAATATTGCCTTTCATAGTGATATATAAGACCCCAGGACTCTCCTCTATCCTCTACTCTCAGTCGCCAAACTCCTCTGTGCCAGGACGCACCTCTCAATCTGAATAATCAGCAGACATCTTTTCACAATGGAGCTTCTGAATAAACGCTACAGTTCTGTTCATTCACCAGTCATTTCCACTCCTGTATGGCCCTACCCGCACAGCGTCAGTGGAGGGGCAGGTGGCAGCGGGGTCAGGATCTCCACTGTCATGGGCACAAGGGTTGGCAGAGGCTTTGGTGGAGGGTATGACTACCAAGCCTCAACCATTGGAAACGAAAAGGTAGCCATGCAGCAGCTGAATGACCGCCTGGCCAGCTACCTGGAGAAGGTCCACTATCTGGAGACGGCCAACAGAAAGCTGGAGATCAAGATCTTAGAGACAACTGAAAAGAGAGGCCCATTGGAGATGAGGGACTACAGAAAGTACAGCGCCATCATTGAAGAGCTGAGGGCCAAGGTGAGTTAAGTCAAGTTAGGATGGCACTGAATGCATCTCTAGTCTAGTCATTAAAAATGTGTGGTCAAAAAAGTGTGCTGATAGCATATAATTTACAGCATCGTGCAAAAGCAGCAAAGAAAGGTGCCTAAGAAAACTGCAGAGTGGCAAATCCAAGGCTCCTTCAGTGTTCTGGGTTTGCAGATATTTACAATTTCACCAAACAAAGGAAATAGTTCTGATTATATAGTGTAAAAAGTCACTGAATATGCACAAAACATTTTTTTATTATAGCACTGAATGAGGTTGTATGACAAGCTAATGCTCCAAAAGTGGCACTTTTAAAAGAGCATTTTAATGACCAAAACCTCAATCTTTACCTTGTAAATGTCAAGTTATGTTGGGGCAAAAGTCATTCCAGGATGAATTGGTTTAGCTTTTTATTATTATATTGGACACGCTACACTCTAAAATGTTTCTGTAGAATTCTGACTGACATCATAACATTTATTACCTGTAATCTGACTCCTGTCTTTATGGCCATGTTGAGCTATGACAGATAGTGTGAAAAAGATAAGATGCTTTGTTGTTTTAGGATTTACCCTGTTATCAAGCCCAGTCTTTCACTTGCACAACTTTTCAAAGTGAAAATTACTTTTTGCTGTCCATCAAAATGACTGTGGGAGAACAGAATAGTAGATACTGTCTGTTTCACAAAAAATATTTCACTTTTTTCAGATACTTGACAAAATCAAGGGTAATGCACAGCTGACAATCACTCTTGACAACGCATCCCTGGCTTCAGACGACTTCAGAGTCAAGTGAGCATTCAGCTTTGTATGCAAATAAAACATATTCTCAATCCATGAGCATATCTGATTTTCAGTATGTGTGGTTAGGATGGAGTATGAGTTGTCCATGCGTCAGACAGTGGAGGCTGATGTTGCCAGACTGAGGAAGTGTCTGGACGACCTGAATGTTAATTGTTTGCACCTGGAAAGTGACATTGAGTCTCTGAAGGAAGAGCTGATCCACCTGAAGAAGAACCATGAGAATGTGAGGGACAATTAAACAGAAATTAACTGCATGATGGTAATCTGTATACTACTGGACTGTAAATACCCACCATTACAGCAGTCTATTTGTTCCTTAACTTGTCTGCGTAGGATAACCCCACTAATCGTGTTGAGGAAATCACTCCCCAACTATTTCCCCCTCAATAGGAAGTTGCTGAATTGCGTGCCCAGATAACCCAAGCTAGCATCCGTGTGGATGTTGATGCTCCTAAAGGACAAGACCTGGCTAGGATCATGGAGGAGATAAGGGAAAAATATGCGAAGATAGTACAGAATAACCAGCAGGAAATACAAGCATGGATTGAATCTCAGGTACAGCAGAATTTAGTCGGTACAGGTCAATGAATGATACATCTTGGGTTGACTGGCTATTTCAGGAAATTATTTTAAGTATTTTTTTTATTGTAACCAGATGATACAGGTGCAGGTCCAAGTGACTGAGAGCACAACAGCTCTGAATGAGGCTGTGAGTGCATTCAATGAAACTAGGAGGAGGCATCAAGCACTGGAGATTGAATTGCAGTCTGCACATAGTCTGGTAAGAGCCTTTCTACTAGTTTACATAACTGTCTAGACTCCATTGTGTCATCAGGGGTAACAATTCATATTTGTGAATAGACCCTCTCAATTAGGTCTACGTTCTTACTTTGCAACTGCAAGTATTATAGTCTTTGAGAATCATTTGTAAAATGAATAGTTTGAAAGTTTGTGAAATACACTTATTTGCCTTCTTGCCAGGAGTTTTATGAGAAAACTGAACTACAGAAACTATTAGGTTAGTTAAACTAGCCTAGCTAAAATCCACTTACCAGCACTTGAGCACAAAAATGAATGTATTCTACTTTGTGAGTTTTAGAGGGATTGTAGATTTTGAACAGAAAGATGCTTTCAGTCTCCCCTTGCTTCTAGTCTTTATGCTAAGCTAAGATAACCAGCTGCTAGCTGTTGTAGCCTATTTATTATATAGGCATGACTGCTATAATTTTTCTCATCTAAGTCTTGGAAAGAAAATTTAAAAAAACGTTCTATTTCTCTGCTGCATCAGTCTATCAGGTAACCAAACTTCTCTTTCATCCCTTGATAGAACGCGTCCTTGGAGACCACTCGTCAGGACATTGAGATGCGTTACAATATGGAGGTGGAGAAGTGCAGCACCATCATCCTGAAGCTGCAGGAGGAGCTGACCAAGATCCGCGCTGACATTCATCAGCACACAAGAGAGTACGAGCACCTGCTCGACATCAAAGTGAAACTAGAGGTCGAGATCACCGAGTACAGAAGGCTGCTGGACAATGAGACAGATTTAAAGTGAGTATGAGGAGAGGAAGCAGAACACATGGATGAAACTGTGAAAAATGCTTGTGAAAATACACAACAACTTTTCCAGTAGCCACATATTCAATGCACTGCAGTATGAGCAGATATAAGGGTTTTGTATGTTGAAGAGAACTTTTTGCAAATTTGATTCAAATGTGCTTCATGCAAACATGAAGTGACACAGATATGGAAAGTAATCATCATCCGTACAATGCTCTCCACATCATTACATTTCCAACTGATGAATATCAGCACATGGATACCAGATAATTTTAAGACAGAAAATATATTTTAGATTTGTTCCAAAGCATTAAGTGCAATTAAATTTAGCTTTACTCATACCAAAGGTCAAACCGGATGACTCATTTTACTTTTTTGTTCATTTCTTCAGACTGGAGGATGCAGTTGAACATAAGATTCAAATGATGACACTCTCCCAGACTCTGGTGGATGGCAAAGTGGTGACAGAGATGAAGGATGTTAAAACCAGTGAAAAGTAGTTGTTTAAAACTGGGGGGGTGAGGGAAACCTTTGTAACAAAAATAAAGTGAACAACAACAAGTGCACCATCATACCTGTGACTGTTTCTTAGCTTTGTGATAAGGACCTAAACAATCAGCCTGATCATACTTATGCATTCGTTTCATAGTTACATACATCAACATTTTGCAAAATATGCTTTTTATCTTCCTTATAAAGAGTTAGATGAGAGGACTGATGCCACTCCTCTCTGTACATCTTTTATGAAGCTATAGCCAACAGTTAGCTTAGCTTAGCATCAAGACTGGAAACAGCACATGAGGAATAGTATTGATCCAAAGGTAACAAAATCCCCTTACCAGCTCTAAAACCAAAGTGTTCAAACTACAAGTTGTATTTTCATGAGTGGAGCACTTATGTGCCAGGCTATTTCTTGGCATTTCCCGGGCCAAGAAATAGTCCCCCATAGAACCTCTGTAAGATTTCAGACAAGTTAACTATTTCCCCTGGTTCCAGTGTTTATGCTAAGCTAAGCTAATCAGCTGCTGGCAGTACATCTAACTCTCTGTGAATAAGCTTATTTCTCAAAATGTTGAACCATTCCTCTAAGTTAGATATGAATCTCAGACTTCAAATTTTATAATCAGCTAAAGAAATTAAGAAAGAAAAAACGGCTTCAAAGTTTTATATATTATTGCAACTTCGGCTTGCACACATACAGTATACACATAAGACAGCTCCCCTGTGATGGCTGTCTGGCCTCCTGCCATCTTCCTCCCACACACCCAAGTCTACAGTGAGTTTGGGAAATTCTTTCAGCTTCTGAGAAAATCACATTCTGACCTTTAGACTTGTCCCATTATAAGCAGAATGCCTCTATTCCCATCCCATGTCCAAGCAGAGTTCACACCTGTGTCTCCACTTTATTTATTTGCATTCACATTAGTCAGTCTATGTGCACTTTGATACAGACAGACTTTTTTTGATTTCATTTGAGTCACTGCATAACGTTATGTTATTATTCCAGTCATGTGTTCTTAATAGAGATGTGAGGAGCTACAGATTTCAGTAACTGGCTGGGAATATTTTTGACATTTGGGGATGATTGTACAGTTTTGAGCTCAGCCTTTACAAATCAATGTATAATTCATCATCACTATCACAACTTTTGGGAAAATACTATTGCAACATTTGACAGGCAGTGCCATTTATCACCCTGCCAGATTCCTATCAAGACTGCTTTCCCAACTGCAGCTGGAAACAAGTAATAGTTTCTTAATTTGTGCTAGTATCCGGTGCAATGTTGTATGGCATACAGCTGTTACTCTGTAGTGGGTGTGAAAGTGTGTCCCCTGTGAGTGTTAGCCTCACTATCTCACTAAAGGGTGAAGCCGTAAAGCTGACTTTGCTGACAGTCCGAACCTTTGCTGCAGGGCACTGCCATCCT